GTAGACCGATTTTTGGCAACTTTTAGTATGTCACTATTTGGTCTATGTGATCGTTGGTCACTATGCAGACCCAACACTACAAAATAAAACCATAAAACGTGTTCTTGCAATTTTTTTAACGTTCCCTGTGTCAGTTTTTTTAGTTTGCAATACTAATAGAGATTTGGCAAAATAACAAAAAAATTTAACGTTTTATTGTAAATTTTTTTTAATATTTTCGTATCCATAAGTCTTAGAACCAAATGGATCTAACTTATAATCTATAATAAAAAGATCTTCTTCTTATATCTATAATATCTATCTATACAGGGTGATTTGTACTCAATGTGACAAAAAAATTTTTGTGTAAGTACAAAGTAAATGAAGTGTGATGATGCATATCAAATGTTCCAAGTCTAAAAATTAGCTTCCCAAAAAATTATTTTTTGTTTTTCAAATATAACCCTGCTTTTAAACTTAATGCAGCGATTTCTCAATTACCTGTATAAGGATTCGAGTAGATAATGTCATTTTCATGTTCTACATTAAATTTTGAACAAGAATAATAGAAAATGACGGAGGATCAGTTGTAAAAACTTCATTGGAAATATATTCAAAGATAAAAATTAAGATGTTTGATAAAAATTTAAAAAACAATGGTCTATTGCATTTTTCACACCCTGTATACAAGAATGTGTCGGATATGCTAAAAACTGCGCCATTTTATAAGCTTTCCAACCATATGCTACACTATTGAGGTTTATTTCTGCTTATGTACACATTAATGGTTTGAAGACTACAAAGCATGGTGTCTTTAACATTTAAAACATAGAAAGTCGGCATGTTTCAGCTTGAACAGTAGAAACAGTTAAAACGTTCCCTGTTTTCTGGTATTCAAACCACTAAAACAACCAAAAAGATATCTAAACCTCAATAGTGTAGCATATGGTTGGAAAGCTTATAAAATGGCGCAGTTTTTAACATATTCCGACACTTTCTTGTATACATGGTGTCAAAAATGCAATGAACCATTGTTTTTTTTTAATTTTTATCAAACATCTTAATTTTTATCTTTGAATCTATTTCCAATGAAGTTTTTACAACTGATCCTCCGTCATTTTTAATTATTCTTGTTCAAAATTTAATGTAGAACACGAAAATGACATTATCTACTCAAATCCATATACAGGTAATTGAGAAATCGCTGTTTTAAGTTTAAAAGCATGGTTATTTTTGAAAAACATAAAATAATTTTTTGGGAAGCTAATTTTGAGACTTGGAACATTTGATATGCATAATCACACTTCATTTACTTTGTATTTACACCAAAAAAGTTTTGTCACACTGAGTACAAATCACCCTGTATATATAATACGTGAAGCCGTATTTTGTTAACGCAACTCCTCCCTTATTTGTGGACCAATTTCAACGTTTAAGGTGTCAAAAGATTCGTCTCAATTTGTAGTTTTGCAATGAGGTTTTATAACTTTAACATTTCTATTCTTTAGGGCGTGAGACCCTCTCAAAGGTCAGGTTTTCCCCATAAGAAATACATTGAACAATTTTAAAAACAAAAAACAGCTGTTTACAAAAAGAAACGCATTAGCTTTTGGGAGTAAATATTAATGTTTTAATATTCAGTAGGTTAAGACCAAGTTAAACAGTTAATCAGTTTAGTTGGAAGAACGAAAAATGCCTCATGTTGAAAGACGAAATATTGAAAACGGGAGGAGGAAACAATTAATAATAAGGTATCTTATTTGTATGAGGAGAGTAGAGAAAGAGAGGTCTGATCTAACAGATACACATCCACACATGCACTTGGTGAGATGAATATTATTTGCCAGTTTTGCTATGCAACTTACTTTGGAAGTGAAAAAATATACGAAGCCCATACGAAGCCGTGTTGTCACGGTTGTAAAATAAACTTGCCTAATGTCATATCAAATTAATGTATGCAAGAGATTTTACTTAGGCTATGACACTAGCGGATCGATATATTTCAAAACATTTATTTAAAATAAACTTGCCTAATGTCATATCAAATTAATCAAATTAATGTATGCAAGAGATTTTACTTAGGCTATGACACTAGCGGATCGAGATATTTCAAAACATTTATTAGAAACCATATAATGCCTTGAGCTGATAAGTTCAATTAGTAAGATTATACCAAATCTTGGCGGACTTTATGTTTTCATTGTAAACTTGTGTATTACTCGCTCTACTTTAATTGAGGAAAAACACAAATGGATTGTTTACTTCTAGGTTATGTTGCCAGTTCCTCTAAAAAACGTATAAAAAGTTTTTTGACTGAATTTTAGTTGCAATATTAGACATAAGTGAAGGAAATAGTGTTTATGTATTCAACGATCGAGTAGTTAAAGTCAAGTTTATTTTTATGATTAAGGAGAGGCAAATAATATACGTTGTTCAAAAAGAGAAAATGAAAATTCCTATCCAAATCTTATAGCTACAAAATTTATCCAACCTATTTCGACAAATGAATCCATACATTCAAAATTTTGGGACAGGTATTAAGAGAAACCCCACTGAACAACGTGAGGACGTTCTGATGCGAGGCATATACTGTGACCAACGAGCACTAACACACATCGCGTTAAAATACGTTAACAAACTATCAATGGTCTTGCTGCTTTAGGCTATTCAAAGGCTTTCCAGTTGATAACCCAGAGTTTGTGGGTAAAAAAATGGAGCACATTAAATGGTTGATATCACTCCACTTTTCAGGATTCTCTACGGAGAAAATTCGTTTGATTAGGGGGATGTCTAGGCAACAGTTTTCTTCAATTCTCGATGTTGGAAAATCTTTGTTGCAACATGTTAGCTCGAGAAGCAGATTGTTTAGCATTCATTAGGAGCTATCAGTTAAAACTGAGAGCAGAAATAATGCAGGTGAATCTTGACGACGCAAATAGAGTTATTTAAAATTAGTTTCTTACAAGTGTTTAAACAACTCTAAGATGTAGGCCTAACTAGAATTACTCGAATTTAGGCATGGCGTTTTCCTCGGCGTTATGTTTCATACTATGCGGCTCATTGAGCCGCACGGGTTCTCTAGTAACTTATATTATAAGAAATTTAATTGTCTACAACTTTGACATTACATATCTTTCGCTAAAACGCACCAAAACGGAGATATAGGCGAAAATCTCTAGAAAGTACAGATTTTTTCGATTTTTCAATATGGCGGCGGGCGCGGAGGGGGGAGAATTGTGCATTTTTCATTTTAAACACCTACTTACCATCCTAGACAACATATAAAAAATTTAGACTTACCGGACCGTTTGTAAGTAAACATACCTCTATTCACTGGACTATTACTAGTTGTGTACATTTTGACAACAATGAATAACAGAATAACCAATTAGACCTGGCTTGTATGTTATGTAGAAAAGTCAAATATGAGACACGGGCGTCCGCCGAAAACACTTCAGAACGATACCATTTATTTACAAGGGTCGTTGGAAAATAAATGCTTCAGCAACTAGGTACCTATATTGTTTATATAGAATATAGTGTTGAATATAGAATATACGCCACCTAGGTGCGTATTTTAAGCCAAATATGAGCAAAGTATGAGTGCAGATTAGAGTGAGATGATCTGTGTAGGTTTTACGAACTAATACTATATTCTTCATTAGTCAGTTCCATCGATGTATAACCTAACAGGTGTTAGGCTATATACATCGATGGTCAGTTCAGTACCATTTATTAAAAGCCCAAAATGATCCATATATACCTATAAAATGCAAAGCCCTCACTGACTGACTGTCTGACTCACTCATCACTAATTCTCCTATTTCCTGTTTACCTAGAAGTCTGAAATTACTCATTCTTTAGGCATTAAATAGAAAAACTAAGTCGTTTTTATTCAGATCTGACCTTCTGGCTCAAGGTAAAAAATATGTTTTTCATAAGGATAACATGGGAACTTTAAAAGCCACTGGGGCAGAGCCCGAGGGACTTTTTCAAAAATGTAAGGTCAGTTTGCAAATCTAAGCACCTAGACGAACATTTTGGTATATGATATGTGGGGTTAAATCTTAAAACAAAAAGCCTTTATTGTTCACAAAGTTTCATGTAGCGTATTTATAATATAGATTTTACCAAACCACATTGATAATTTTAACATAGTTAATTTTAATTATTTATTTATTATATTCAACAAGACTATTCACACCCAAATATGTTTAGCTACCTATATTTTAATATCTAGAAAAACTCAAATATACAGTACAGTGTAATATGTTTATTTCAAACAAAAACCATTCTGAATTTAAAACTAGGAGAAATTAATAGGATAACTCATAGGCTACATAATACCTTGAAATGGATTTTGAAAATCTCTTCCATTGATTTGAAATCGTTTAACCAGATCCATTCACTCATCATAACACCTACTTATTTTTTTGGTAAAAATGTTACCAGCAAAAAATTATAATTGTTCAAAAAACACTGGAGAGGAATATCATTTATCAGTTCACTTGGGCATAGCTGTAATCTTTTATCATTCAGGGCTATATTCGATAAGTTATGGGTCAATAAATTAAGGTTGTTTTAACTGATTGTTTATCATATTGAAAGCAAGCAAAACTAATAAATTGTAGCTATTTTGTAAAATTCGCCTGACAAACGATAGCTAAATTTGGAAGATATGCAATTTCTGAATGTAGATAGCCTTTTGATGAATAGTTTTGCGATTTTACCAACTAGAAAATACAGTATGTGACCCAAAGTAGCTTTCTAATTAGTAAAAAGATTGCATAAAAATAAAAGCATTACATCAGGCTACAAAATAAGTACAAATATTTAGTAAACAATGATGCAAACCTGCAATACCTGCAAAGTAAAAAACTTCTTTTTTCAAACTAAGTTATGTTTGATCATTTTTATAAAGACCAAGAGCATGAATAGTAATGCCATCTTCATCATGTTGGTTGTAAGAAAATTTCCTCCAAAACACAGGGCGGTAAAGGTAAATAAGTGAAAGACTGAAGTTTCTAACATTTGCATTTATTCAGTGTTCTATATCCTATCACGCAGGTTTATCTATATACAGTTGATCCTGGGTCCGTAGTCCTTGTCTCCGGGTATAGCAGACTGAACCTTAGTCGGGAACGCGTCAAGGGCTCCCGACTGCAAAGACTACCGAACGGTGACGTCACGGCCGACTACCCCTCTCTCTATCTGAGTGGAGTGGGAGAGAGTCGCTGCGGCAACAACCCCCAGTCCAGCCGATGGCTTACCCTCAAACGTAATTCTCTGTAGCAACCCCCCTAGGTCCAGCCGACGGCTTAACCTCCACACGCAATTCCCTGCGAAAGATTTATTCGTTTTGAAGGGAAACCAGAGTAAATAAATTTCGACGTAGACGAGGTTGGCATCCCTGTTCTACAATCACAGCTGATGAGTGTAGTGGAAGGGGAAAGGGCAGCATGGAAAAGTGATTGCGAGGGTCGAGCGCGCATGTCTCTGTATCACCAACAACTCTTATCTATTAACTTCGACCTAAAAGATAAGACATACCTTGCTGACAGATATGACATAACTGTGATGTCCTGGGTGATCAAGGCAAGAGCTGAGCTTATCAACCTCAACTTCAAACCGTGGCTTGTAGACAATTATCATTTGTGCACTCTTTGTAATTTACAAGAGAAAGAAGATGTTTTTCATTTTATATCTGTTTGTCCCTTTTTAAATTCAACAAGGAAATTTTATTTTGGCTGTCCAATTTTGACACAGGAACAATATATAGAGATATTGAATGGTTGGGATTGGCGGGTCTTAAGCAATTATTTAAAAGATGCTTGGTCTAAAAGATGGGGGTTAACCCTTAATTTGACAGCGTGCCATTATTGGCACATGAGGATTCAAAAAAATGTCACGTTCGCCTGTTAACTTTTTAATTCCAACAAACGGCGTCCAAAGGTTCTTTGCCTATTGCTATTATGTTTTAGTGCACTATAGTGGATGTTTTGGAAATTACTATCACTTTAGACCAACATATAGAAAAGGAAGTATGGAGGCTTAGTGTAGAAGGTTAGTAAATTATTTCTTATTTCAATATTTTAGGCTGTTTACCTATATATCTAAGTGATTTGCACAGATTAAAGATGAGAAAACATAACCCAGGTCAGAAATAAGCTTAAATATGAACATTGATTTTTTTATAAACTAAACAATTTGAGTGTGACAAAAATGGCACATTGCCAAAGAACCAGGGAACAATGAAAATTTTTGGGCGTGCCAAAAATGGCACATTACCAAAGATACAGTTATTTTTTTTTTAGTATATTGAGCGCGCCTAAAGTGGCACACTGTTTATAAAACAGTGAAAGGTATTTATATTTGTAAATGTATGTCTCTTATTTCCACAAATTGTAAAATAAAAATGTTTTTTTTGATGAAAGACTTTTCACTAGGCTGTTTAGAAAAGACTTTGGCTTTACAAAAACTCCCGACCATCCATGGCAACAAATATCTACCAAAAAGAGTTCTATTTCCTGCTGAAAGTGAAACTTCTTATATGAAAGTTAATTGTGCATTCCGATAAAGATTTTGGTACTTACAAATATTTGCTCACTGTATCGACATATCGTGCAATAACGCATTGCTGCCACGTTGAAAATAGTTAAATTGAAAAACCAGCAAGACAATATGTCACAAAAAAATTTTAGTTATGGGATTTTTGAATTGCTAACCAAAGAAATGAGTAAAAGACAAGTTCTAAAAGACAGGGATTTACTTCTTCTCACACCAGCTGCTCTGATGTATGTTGAAGATGTACACTTTGATGGTGTTGGACATTATCCTTTCTTTGTATACATCAAGAGGTCGATGCAGATTTTGTAAAAATAAAAAATAAATCGTCGATTTAGTGTTCAAAGTGCAATGCTGTAACTGAAAGAAAATAACAATTGTTTTGTCGGGTTTCACCAAAAGTAGATGATGTTTCTTGATGGGCATACTCTAATGAAATTTCAAACGATTTTCCTGATGGGCATGACTAATGAAATATCAATAAATTATATAATAATGTATTTTTTATTGTAATCACATAGTTTTGTAGAGGTTTTACATGTGTATATATTTTAGTTCATTTTTTATAATGACGTTTATACCATTTTATATTGGATTGATAACTTTTGTGGAGAAATTGATTTTTTTATATATTACATATAATTATAGTTATACAATTTTGATATCCAATATGTGATAATGTCGACTTATTCAAACCCTAAAGTCTATTTTTAAGTGCTATACAGATAAACTTTATGTATTTAATTCAACAAAAGATTCCTAGAGAAATCCCTGCATCTTTGGCAAAGTGCCAAAAATGGCACACATGAAAAAATTGTAAAAAATACTTAACAGAATTTTAAAATTATTTTTTTGAAGTTCCTTTAGACCCTTTTGATTGAAATATTGCAAGGAAAAAGTAGTTTTCAAAAAAATATTTGTTTGCCAAATTAAGGGTTAATTCAAGAATTCAATCTGTGAGAATCATTTTCCCAAATGTCATTACTTTTAAAATCTTTTTTATAATTATTTATTAGTTTCATTAAATTGTTATTATTAATCAATTTTTGTACAAGTGCTAACCAGGTACGCCAGCCGCAACAGACGGGCTTTTTGTCCATTGTTGTATTTAGTGCTAAGAAGTTATTGTTGTACACTTATTTGTAAATAAAAGCACTTTTTCATTTCATTTCATTCAATTCCCTGCGGCAACGCCCCCGGTCCAGACAACGGCTTATCCTCCACATGTAATTACCACTAAATTAGCAATATATTTTGAATCAGTTTTTACGCATACCAAGCCTTACACATATATTTCCGCATTGAAAGATTAGAATAACTTATTAGAATTATTAAACTAGTCGCCCGAAATCTTTTTGTTGTTCATTGCAAAATATCGATGAACTGGGAGCAATATATAATTTATATAAAATAAATAGATAAAGTATTATGACATAGCTGTATAGAAAAACGTTTAATTGACCTTAACTAATATGAAATAGAGTTTACTTCTAGTAAATAAAAAAACTGATTATTGGGAACGTGTTGAAGTTTGTCAGTTAGTATAACAAACACGTGTAAACTAATAAAAAGATTGAGTTGCTGTTTAGGCTTTTGAAGAAGACACTATGAATAAACATGCTTGTTGTTTTAATGTAAACAGGCCGGAGCTCCAACAGCACCCAGGTGGGCCAGACAGAGCGTGCCCCTCTCCCCCCCCTCGCCCATCGGACCGAGGCAGTGACGTCACTGCAGTCCTCGAGCCGCTACTCACAGCCCAGGGTCGCCGGATTTCTACCCCCGGATATTTACCCCCATGAAAAAACGCCTACGTCATTTTGACGTCACGAGGGGCGGGGCTTATATACGGTCGTGAAACAGCCCGCGACTGGAAATCTACCCCCGGAAATCTACCCCCCGTGGTCAGCTCTGCCACGTATCGGCCAATATTCATTGTTGTAATTGATTTTATTATTTGCTTTTGTAAATCAATGGCTCTTCGGTCAATCATTACCCTTTAATATCTGGTGTTAAGCATGTGATATGTCATTGCCTTGTTTAACATTATCTATCTTCCTAATAAAATAAGCTGTAACAGCCCTTTTTCACCCGAAATACTTCACTGATATTTATGATTGAGGTGTAATTTTAAATCTTAAGATCCAGCTCAACGCAAAATGGCATTTAAAACTATATGTTGATAAAGGGCTTCAAAAGTGTGCCCCTTAAGCATTTGATTCGTTTCCCCGGTAAAGTTTTCTGAATTTTAGTTTTGTAGAACATTCCTCCGCATCACTGCGATAATACTGTTTTCAGAAGACACAAGTTTGATTCAGGGCTCACGAATGTTTAACATTCCCCAAACTCAATAATCATGAAATGAATTCCATCTTCAAAATAAACAAATATAAAAATGTTTGAAATCCAAAAATCGTTTCTTTTGCACCTTTCAATAAAGACAAAGCGTATTTTTTTGCAAATAAAATATGACTCTTTAGTTTTAGTCTTAAAATAGGTAACTGTCATTATATATAGCTAGAGCAAACCGCATACCTAGCATTTTTTATCTCAGAAAGTAAAGTAAAGTTTTCAGAAATCAAACTCGAATAAAAACACCGAACAAACGTGCACTTACATAAAAGAGAAAATCCTCTTAACACGAAAATAATAAAGTCTAAAATGAAATATATGTAATTATAAGTAATTAATATTTTTTCTTTAAAAGTACCTGTGAACCAAGCTTTCCTCGGGGAAAATCATTAGTATTCTCTGACAGTATTCTTTGGTCAATGCCATTTATCCAAACATATTTTTGTGGTCTATTTAATTCCTGTAAAATAGTAATACAGTATCGTAGTTGACTTTGATTTGTAAGCAACATTTATGATTCTCATGTAACATATTATATAATTGGTTGTTGTTTTTTTGTATCAACAAACCCAAATAAGTTTAACATTAAATAGAAAAAGAAGGAATTAAAAATGAAATACCCCCGCCGCAGCAAACCTTCAGACTAAGCGAATTTCCATTAGCCTGATAGGATTTACACTAAAATGTCTCCTTAAAAATATCATATTTATTCCCTATTTAAATAGAATTAGTTAAATGAGTAGGCCTACTTAGGTTTGCTGCAACAGGGAGGGTAAAAAGGTGGTTTTTTTATGTTAATAGGTTAGTAAGAAATTAATGTATTTTCCAAATTCGGTCAAAATATGTTCATAAACAAGCAAACTACAACAGTTGACTTTTTCTCTATAAGAATAACATGGGGATTTTAAATTTACAGTTTTTTGGAATATTCTCCGTAACCATTAGGCACACAATAACGCTTCAATATACAAAATTATTTGATTTTTTATGCTCTACAAAATGGTGTGAAAAGAAATTGTAAAATTTTGTGTTTTTAGGGTCAAAAATGGGAAAAACCTATTTTTACCCCATAAAACCCCCCATAAACCCCCGTTCCCATAGTCCGATCACGCTGGTTCGCGAACTCGTTCGAATAAATGTAGGTTTTACACGTTTGTACCAAATTTCATCAAAATCGGATGATTTTTGCTCGAGTTATCGTGCTAACGGACACACACACACACATATATATATATATATATAAATATATAGATATGAATTTGAACGGATGGTAATTTTGGCCTCTAGGGACCTCAACATGAAAAATTAAATCGGTCCTGGGTCCAGGTCTTACCAACAAGCGTCTACTGATCACTTATTGTGAACGAAAAAAACTGGCCAGTAGCCACTGAAAAAGAAGAAACAATTTGTGTCTGCTTGATTTTATGACGTGACGTATCGTTCTGGCTGTCGGCTGTGTTTTGGTTTAGGTTTAGCTGTTTGTTTCCATTACATCAAAAGTGTAGTACAGTAGAACCTCTTTAATCCGAACCCCCGTAATCCGAACGTCCACTAATCCGAACCCCTTATTGCTGTACTCTGTACACAGAACAGTAGTTCTTCATTGCATACTGCATTTATTGGTATAGGCACCGTAATTGTTTCTATTGTAATGTACAGTACTGTTTATTCCTTATGTTTACTACTGTATTAAATAAACACTGTATTTTACTTTATAAAGCATTTTTCACTTTTCCCTAGCAATTGTTATGTAAAAATAACAATATGTTCTGTAATCCGAACTATTCAATAATCCGAACTACCCCCGGTCCCAATTAGTTTGGATTAAAGAGGTTCTACTGTATTTTGATTTTGTCTATTTCATTGCAATTATTCATTTTGTTTCCATGTAATGATTAAAAAGAAGTTCTTTTTCTTGTGATATTTATTTATGATCACTGGACATGTAGATGTTGTGATATTTACGTTTTGTTATCCTACTGTGTAGTCTTTAGTAAAATATGAATCTTGTTGGGTAGTGTTAAGTTACACATTTTTACTGCATAGATTAAAATCCATTTCTGTGAATAAATAGCATTTTTACTAAACTTTATAAAAATGTACTTTTATCCTTTTAGGCCTATGTCTATCATGGTTAACCTCCCGGCCAAGCCTATGAATTCTTGCACCTTAGCATTCTTTTTTTAACACTCCATAGCAAAGATCTAAACATTTCAAATGGCCGTTGAGTCTTTCACCATAGGCAATGCTATTTAACTTACATGAATGCAGGCTACATAGCCTAAGTTACAATGAAAGTGCAATGGATGAAACTTCATTTTCATTTTCATTTTATTAAACGGCAAACACCATTTTACAAGTGGGTTTAACAAGATAATTAATATTCAAGAAGATAATCAATCATTATTCAAGATAATCAATAACAAAGGACACAATTAATTGAAAGAAATATATCATTAAAAACTATACAAAAACAACAACAAAGAGTAACTTAACAACAATTGATAAAGATTTTATAAATTAATAACAAGGATTAAAATATTTAAAAAAAGAAAACGATACAGTGATAAATACTCTAGACAAAAAGAAACACTTAAATTGACGAGATAATATTGCTTGGCAGTTGGCACTTTCTCTCACTGGTTGTGTGGCCCTTTAGAGGCACCACCAAAAGCACAACGACTAAAGCTGGAGAGAAACTGTCGAGAGAGATTGTAATACGATTTTTGGGTACTTTTGAGGACTTCCGTATCTGTTTGCACAAACAACCGAATAAGGGTACACTTCCATAAGTTATCTGTTGGCACAAACAACCGAATGAGTAATTTTGATTATTCAATTGTTTAATTCGATATATCGTTTGGTTAGTTAGGTTAGGTTAACCTTACCTAACTAACCAAACGATACAGAGAATAATCGATATAGCCTATCGATCGATATTTTCATTCGGTTGTTTGCGCCAACAGATATTGAAGTGTACCCCCGAATGGAAATGTCGATTATTCGATTGTTTCATTCGATATATTGTTTGGTTAACTTAGTTAGTTTAGGTTAACCTTACCTAACTAACCAAACGATATATCGAATAATGGATATAGGGTATCGATCGATATTTTCATTCGGTTGTTTGTGCCAACAAAAACGTGATTTTTTTCTATCCGATATATTGATTATAAAAAATTGAAACATATCAGTTGACAACTACGATAAGGATACAGTAAATAAATACTGTTCAGTATCAACAAACAATTTAAAAATGGCTGCACTTTACGTTAGGTACTATTTGAATGAAAATATCGAACGATATATTGATTAATCGATTTTTTCATTCAATATATCGTTTGGTTATATCGAATGAAACAATAGAATAATCGATGTTTTCATTCGAATGACTGTAGGACCTAAAGCACAGAAAACGTACTACTATAACCCAGAATGCCAACCGCATGGTAAAAAGCATTAAGTGTTTTGAGAGAGCTTTGCCTGTCAATCCGTAGGCAGCGCCACCAGCGTTGCTATGCTATTGCATGGCGACGCTGCCTACGGATTGACAGGCAAAGCTCTCTCAAACCGCTTAATGCTTTTTACCATGCGGTTGGCATTCTGGGTTATAGTAGTACGTTTTCTGTGCCTAAAGTAAAGAGCAGCCTCGTTAGCCCCGTTTGATTGCCTATTCCCCATATGCATTTTCTGTTATAAAACGGAATTTTGAAATGGTAACTTAGCCTACAGCAAGTTTGGTTAGTTATGTCAGGTTAGTTTAGAATAGTTTCATTTCCTACTCCAATTTAGGCCTATGAGCTATTATTTTTGCCTAAACAAGGTCAGTTCTTAATTTGTAATTTAAATGCGTTTGAAGATATTAAAACAGAAGGAATACGGATCGTGAAGTAAAACAAAAATATCGATAAATCGAAAAGAAATCATTGATAATAATTAATGTTCCCTTTAACAGGAAAGTACCCAAACAAACTTTGTGGTCTGGTGAAAACCCAGTGTTATACAATTTGCCCACTCCTGTTAAAAATCTGACCTTTGCCAAGTTAGAGCAGTATTTGGTGGAAGGAAATTTGTCTTTGGAAAAGTTCTTCCTGTAGGCCTATCCTCGGATTCAAATGTAATGAAGGATGTACTTGTAAACTGTTTGTTATGACCTAATCACTCTAATAGTGGCTGTGGCCGCCATACACAGAAATTGCAGTTGGAATGAATTTCTAAATTTTTATCTTCTTTTTTGTCACTGTTCTCTATATACCAGAGGCATTTTGCAGGAGAGCTAATCACAAAAACATTCAAGGTAAAGTGGTCCAAACCCATCAAATGTTGTGGATGTGTCGAAAAACGAACCTGTCATTCTTGCTCTGAAGTCGAAGACACTAACCACTAAGTAGCCTAGCAACACACCACCTTGTATTTCCTTTCAAAAATAAAAAAGGTTAAATTTAAATACTTTGAAATGTAAGTATGGAAGTACTGTATAAACAATAAAATAATAAGTTAATAATAACAATAATAATTACAAACCCCCAATTCCAGTGAAGTGAATACGGCTGCACTTTACTTGACGTCCTACACTCATTCGATTGTTTTTTTTTCGATTCGATATTTTCATTCGATATATCGTTTGGTTAGTTAGGTTAGGTTAACCTTACCTAACTAACCAAACGATATATCAAATGAAGCAATCGACTAATCGATATATCAATCGATATTTTCATTCGAATGAGTGTAGGACGTCAAGTAAAGTGCAGCCGTGAATACAAGAGGCAACGTTTTCCAATCTACTTCAAAAAATTGTAATTTTAAGTAGAGAATTTGTGTTGTACCGTATTGATTTTTGTAGATAGGTACCACTTTAATGGGACATTTTCGTAGTTTTGATGACGGAACATTTACGCCAAATTAAATTTACTTAAAAACAGTGATTAGGCCTACTTAATGATTACAACCCACAGCCACCTCTAATGTATTAGAGGTGGCTGTGTTACAACCCATGCATTTCCATTTCCCTAGCCAAGCCTAGCATAGAGGACAGTTAAATTCAACACATTAGGACTAGTGTTATAGATTTGCCATTGGTTTCATCTAATCAGAATTAAATTTGGTTTGTTAACATAAAATTATACTATCCTGGTAGGTTTAAACTAGGTTAATCCTTAATTCACATTTCTTTAGCTCAAGAAATAATTTTCACTCATATTACACAAGGGGAAGATCTGCTTTGGATAGGCCCTACACCAGACTAACAACAGTACAGCAAAGTTTTGCTAGTATATCAGTAAAAATAGTAAATTGTTTTGCAAGTGAAATACTTGACATTCCTTGTACTCGGCTAAAACAAAAGTTGATGGTTTGGCTTGCTGACCACCCTTTTTACAGTTTAGATGAATTTTTTGCAGAATACAATTGTAATGGTAAAATTGTTATCTAGTTCTTACTTAGTCCCTAGTCAACTGTTACCTAGTCTTTCAAACACTTGTTTAAGTAGGTACCTCACTTTTGTTTCATATATATAGTTCTGTGTTTTTCAAATGATTTTAGCTTTATTTTCTTGTTGTCTTTGTTATATTTAAGTTTAGTGAAGATTCCATGTTATAGACCATGTTATACTATCTAGAATCTATGGCCCTTCTTTTGTTAACGAGGTCTATTGTAACATATGTTATTTAATGACCAATAAAGATTTATGATTTATGAAAAATGGATATGATTGATCACCTTGAATCACGATTTATCTTGCTTGCACTGTGACATCGTATCTGTTTAATTATTTATAACATACGTATAGTTTGCCAACAAATTGTATTGGATCGCAAATCTGGAAGTAAGATGAATGTATTAAACCATTAACATTCTATTTACCTCATCTAACTACGTGTTATTCCCCCAAATTGGTCCAGCCCTATTCTGCCTGCCAAATTTGTCAGCCATACATAACCCTATTTCACCTCTTTGTGGATTTGTGGAACGAAGGAACTGGAACTGAACCAACAACCAAGCAAACAAGCAAACGAATCTGCGTCTGTCATATTCCACAGCCTTCTAGATTTTGTCAACTCCAAGAATAAATACTGTATGAAGTGCACCCACCTACCGATGGTGAATTGAGTAGCCATCAGTGTTGAATATCCTCATTGAAGGACGCGCTTCTCATCGTTTTGCCTATTAAGCCTCTTGGTTGTGCTGTTCGAAAACTTTTCTATACTATATCAACGGCATTATCATGTCTGTCTCCTGTCCTGTTTGTGTTAAAGCAGTCCTTAACTCTGAAGACGCACTGGAGTGTGACGGGGATTGCAAAGGATGGTTTCACCGTAAATGCATAAGAATGAATAAAACTGAATACAACCGCTTGGGCAACGATGGCAATATTAAATGGTTGTGTTCCCGTATGGACTGTGTCTCTTTTTCCAGCACCCCTATATCTCAACTTTCCGTGCAAATGACTTCAGTCATAAAGCTTGATGAGCTGCTTGGTAAGGTGAACAAAATTGATGACATTTCTAAAGACGTGGCGGAAATTAGAGCGGAGGTGTCGAGCTCCTTATCAAGCTTGGAACCATGGGTGACTTCTGTCGAAAATAAAGTGGATTCCATATCCCTGAACCTGGCTAAAGCCTCCACAACGGTTGATACACATGGCGAACGATTAGCCAAGCTTGAAAGCCACTCCTCTTCTGATTCCTGCCTTGCCTCCACCATTGAAGAAATTAATTAATGAAAGAAATCTCCGGGCCAAAAATGTTATGGTCTTTGGGTTGCGTGAGAGCACAAAGAGTACGGCCGAGGACAGAATGATGGATGATAAGGAACACCTGAAAGTCATTTTCACGGCAATTGAACCTAGTTTAAATGTGAACTCCTTCAAGTTCTTTCGTGTTGGGAAGGGGTCAAGAGGCAAACCCCGTCCAATCAAAGTTATTGTTGGGTGTGAGGCTTCTGTTCATGTGATCACCAAGTTTGCTACTAAGGATTTTCTAAAAGGGCTTGGAGAGAATTTCTCCAAAACTTCTATTAGCCGCGACCGAACTACTAATGAGGTTGAGTATCTAAAAAAAACTTAAAGCTGAGCTGTCCCATCGATCTGAGTCTGGTGAAGGAAATCTCACCATTAAGTATAGTAATGGAATCCCAAAAATTGTCCAGTCAAAAAACGACTAAGCACCAACGGCATTGAACTCTTTTCCTTCTTGTATGAAAATGTTAATGGGATTCGTTCCAAACTCACGTCTTTGCATGCCCTTGTCCCCATCTCTATGAATAAAATTTTTATATTTACTGAAACAAACTTGAATCCCACAATTACTTCTTCAGAGCTTGGCTTTGATGTATACGTTGTCTACCGAAAGGATCGTTCGCCCCAAACTAGTAGCAAGCAGGATGGTGGGGGTGTTCTGATTGCCGTCCACAAGACTATTTTTTCATCCGAAATCGTACAGCCCGATTTACCAGTGGAGGCACTGCGTGTTCTTGTTAAACTTACAGCCAGTTGCAAGATAGTTGTCTGTGCAGCCTATATCCCTCCTCAAGCTCAAACAAGACTACTCTCTGTTTGCTGAGTCACTAGTGGAAGTATTGTCCGTCTACCACAACTATGACCACATACTAATTGCTGGGGACTTCAATCTACCCGGCTTCAACTGGATTCACCCCGAACTGTCAACTGCTACTCCACCGGTGAACATAATTTTGGACTTGGCTGCACATCTTGGTGTCAATCAGATTAGTGATGTGGTGAATGATAGAGAAGTTCAGCTGGACTTGATCTTTGGGTCATCCGACGTCTTTACCGTGTTACATGCTAATGACCCCCTCCTTGCCCAAGAACCCTGCCATCCTAGCTTGTATGTTTCTGCTGATATCCCTGAACCATCGATCGAGCACCCAAAGCACCCTACTCTCATCAGGAACATTCGAAGATGTGACATTGAAAAGGTTAAAATTGACCTCCAGGACGGAGCCATTCAGCTCGACTATGATTGCAGCGACGTTAATCTTCAATTCTCCACTTTTTGCAATCAACTCAGCGAACTCATCAAATCTCACTCTCCTTGGAAGTCTGTCAGTCCTTCCGTCTTTCCAAAATGGTTCTCCAAAGAGCTTAGGGAACTTGTTATTCTCAAGAAGACGCTTCACAAGAAATATAAGATATCTCTCAACATGATTGACTACCACAACTTTAGCGTCATTAGGGACCGATGCATGGCTGTATCCAGGGATTGTCGCTTGAACTACGTCAACCATATTAATACTACCATTTCCACTAATGTCAAGATCTTCTGGAGTTTTGTGAAGAATCTCAATCGAACATCTTCCATGCCATGCACCCTTAAACATGGTCCAACTGAGGTTTCCCACCCACATGAGATGTGTGAGCTGTTTGCTGAATATTTCTCGTCCGTCTACTCTCATGCGTCCCTAGATGAGCTGCCAGTACCTTCATTTGATACTCAATTCACCATCTCAGAATGTGCTATCTCCCTAGAAGATATCAATAAGAAGCTTCTTCACTTGGATCCCACCAAGGGTAGTGGACCTGACAACATCACACCAGGAGTACTCAAATTCTGCCACTCTGAGCTGGTACATCAGCTCCATTTCCTATTTAACCTCAGTTTGTCTACAGGCACATTTCCCTCCACACTGAAGTATGGTCATGTGGTTCCAATCTTCAAAGCCGGTGATCGTTCTGATGTTACAAATTACAGGCCGTCCTCAGTAAAGTTTTTGAAGGGCTTATTTTATACATCGTACAGCCTTTATTTAAAAATATCATAATTGATGAGCAGCATGGCTTTACCTCCGGTCGCTCCACTGTGACGAATCTTTTATCTCTCCAGTGTCTGGTGTTGGAAGCCTTTGGTCGAAGAAATCAAGTTGATGCCATTTACATTGACTTTAAAAAAGCTTTTGACAAGATAAACCATAGCCATCTGCTTGCAAAGCTCCAAGGCTATGGATTCGCTGGAAGGTTTCTACAATGGTTTACGAGCTACCTTACCAATCGATGGCTTGCTGTACGCCTTGGTTCTGAAGTCTCTTCTTTCTTCGCTGCAAGTTCTGGTGTTCCTCAGGGGTCTCATCTTGGACCGTTCTTGTTTTCCATCTTTATTAATGACATTAAGAAGGTCATCAAAGTCCCATTTCTTCTATTTGCGGATGACATTAAGCTACTCGTTGAAGTTGCATCCCATCATGACTGCCAGTCCTTGCAGGACGCCCTCGACGACGTATTTGGCTGGTGCCTCTCCAATGACATGGCTGTGAATCCCACAAAAACCAAATTGATCACGTTCAGCAGGAAATTATAAATACAGTGTTAGCTGACTACTCTCTTGATGGTAACCGTGTTGAGAGATGCAATACCATCAAGGATCTTGGTGTTCTAATTGACTTCTCCTTCGAGTTTGGACCCCACATAAACCAAATCTGCACCAGGGCCTCTCGTATGATCGGATTGGTATTCCGCTCTGCTAGACATGGTTTAAGCAACCATGCCTGTATTATCCTGTACAAGTCTCTCATCCTGCAGCTACTCGAGTATGCTTCCTTGGTTTGGTCACCATACCATCTTGGCCATATTTACCATCTTCAGTCAGTACAAAGACGCTTCATCAGGTTCCTGGGATGTCGTGCTGGACTTGACTTTCGTGATGTCCGGGTTGACGAGCTCTCTAATATGTATGACATTCCGAGTCTTGAAAACAGAAGGCGAGTGGCTGATGTGACCTTTCTTTACAAACTGGTAAATAACCAAGTCAATTGCCCCTTCTAGCTGGAAAGGATAAACTTCCATGTTCCTTCGAGAATCACGAGACATCAGCGTGTATTTGAACTTGACCACACTGGGACTAACTACGCCAGATCCAGTCCCATTCCTCGGATTATGCGCCTCGGGAATGTGATAAGCAGCTCTATTGACCTTCTTACTGCCTCCTTGAGAGTGGTTCTGCGTTCTGCAGCTGACAGCATCCTTGAGGGTACCCCGTGAAAGCATTGTTGTTGTTGTTCCTTTGTTGTTGATTTTTCTCTTGTTAATTTTGTGATCGATTTTGTTTGTATTTTTGTTATGATATAATCATTGTTATATTTTGTTATTGTTATATATTTTATACATTGTTATTTTTCTGTAACATTTCTACTCCTCTGTTAATTATTAATTTTTTATAATATTTTCCTATTTGTAGCTACTTAATGTAAAATGGTGTTTGCCGTTGGTGTTCAATAAATAAATAAATAAATAAATCCTCCAACCCTCATATCCAAGAAAGTATGAACGTGTCTAGTTTGTTTAGAACCTAACTTACTAATTTGGAAATCAAAGTAACAGATGGTGTAGCAATAATTAAAAAAAAAAAAAACAATAAGATAAATGATAACGTCAACATTAAAAATAGGTTATATTTATATAACTTAGGATTCAAGGTGAAATAATATACTACAAAATATTAGTTGGTTTTGAGGGTTGAGGTTATGAGTCTGTTGTCTGTTTGACTTTGTTTATGCTGCTAAAGCCCCCTGCAGACGGGGACAGTACCTATAGTGGCGTCCACAAGTAAAGCCCCCCACACACTACCAGACCAGACCTCCAGACCAGACCGTCTGGCTACAACCAGACCGTCTCGGACGGCTCTACACACTCCCAGACCAGACATTCCAATATTCGTCTTTGAGACACCGTGGTGAGAACTCCAACAAATGGATGAAGACGGTCGGCCGTCTGACAGACAGCGCTACACACTCACAGACCAGACAAAAATAGTGGTGGGGGAACCTAAGACCGTCTGTGGTCTGAGGGTCCAACCATCAGACACGCAGACAGTCTGGTCCGAGAAAATCGGTCTGCAGACAGCCCCACACACGATAAGACAAGTGCCAGACGACAGACCAGACGGTCTGGTCTGGAGGTCTGGTCTGGTAGTGTGTGGGGGGCTTAACAGACAGCAACAGACGACAGACCGCAGTCATCAACAAGATGGTTCTTCTTCTTCATGGGCCAGTATTTTTCGTTTGCAATAAGTGATCACCCAGGCTGTAGACGCTTGTGGTCTTCATTGAGTACTACGGTAATAGCTTATTCCCTATATGGGAAATTCGCTAAAAACAGAAATAAGAAAATCAATCATTCAATTTCTAAAATCGGCCAGGGGGTAAAATTCCGGGGGTTAAAAATCCGGGGGTACAAATCCGGCCCGTACATCTTCAGTTGTCTAAACGCTAGTTATATGGACAGGGGTTAAAATTCCGGTTTTTATCGCTAATCTAATTATTCGAGCTCTGGCTATTTTCATTAGACTTCCAAATCCGCGGGGGTAAAATTCCGGCTGCGAACAAACTTTTGGCCACTCAGGTTACTACGTCATAGTGACGTCAGCTTTGCCCAGGGGGTAAAATTCCAGGGGGGTAAAATTCCGGCGACCCGAACTAGACACGAAAAACGAGCTTCAAAATTTACAATGGGGTGGGAAGGTCTACTTGTGTTGGTTGGTTTTTGATACTTCCATAGATAAAACAAAGGGGACTATGTTTTATCTATGATACTACTTAATATACTTACACCCTTGAAATCCTCTTGGCTCTTGTCCTGTTTCTGTTTTTGACAACACTGACTGCATTAGTTTCGGCTCGGCCTCTTCCACTACAATACAACCAGGAGGACCAGAGTGAATCTGAAACTCTGCCTCCACTACTCCACTCCTCTTTTACCCACAATCACCTACTTCCCACCACTACAACACAACCCCTCTCCACCCACTACCATCAATCCCCAATCCCCATCCCCATCCCATCCCATCGTCATCGTGATCGGATCGTATTCGTATTCGTAGTTTCTAATCCAACTTCAGTGATGGCTGCAACATTTTTGGAATTTGCATTCCGAGGAAGTGGGAAGATTGCTCTTGATAGTGTTTGTTCAGTGAGTGTAAGTTTAGTTCGTTTGGAAATGCGTTTTGTTAAGATGTAAAGTGCTCTGTTGAACTTACCATCTGCGATGGCAGACGAAGATCCAGAGCTAGAAGTTCGTCGTGCCCTAGATGTGGTCCAGTCCATGATTGACATTTCTGCAGATAGATTGGAGGGGTTAAGAACTCAGTGTGCAACGAGTGCTGAATTGACCCAACATGAAATTAGGACTCTGGAGGTAATTATAAAGCGTTTCTAATTTTATAGGCACAACACATTTTTTCATTTCCCATAAACTTAGGCCTATAAATTCTGTACGGTAACATGTTACCGTCTGGTTCACCCCAATTAACAGGCCCATAGAAATAGGCCTACTATCATCATCGATGGTTCTTTTTAAGGTACCTAACTGATCCGAACTATGATTGGTTGATCTCAATACAATATTAATGTCATCTTGTTTTCTTTTTAAACTCATTCTGAACTTTTTAGACTAATCCCAAATAGGCTAACACTAAGCTTTTGGTAAGCCTAGCCTAATTAGTTTTCTTAGTTAACACGTTCGCTGCCGCCCACCAAACGGCGGGCGTAGCCCCGGTGCGGCGCAGGGTCAATCAGATCCGTTTGACTTTTAAATATTTCGGTCTGACGAATAGCAAATGACGTGCGGTGATGTTTTGCGTTACGACTCTGAGAGTCGACATAGTTTGCTGAAACACCCACACATAGCAGCACTGTTTGGAACCAGCCGGTCCCATTTTATTGCCAATAGGAGGGAGAAAAAAAGACAATAAGTTGATTTCCAAGCTTAACAGAAGGGGATTTAACGGGGAAATTTACTACCAACTTACACCATCAGTAAAGTACCCATTCCTAACTAAACGCAGACATAAAATACCCGCTCTTCCCGGTGTGCTGCTGCTCAGAAATTGAATGGAATGTAGGCGATGCCGGCACTCACGGGTGAGTGTTTGCATGGCAGAAAGAAACTAGAGCACTCACCGGTGAGTGGCCCGCAGCGAACGTGTTAAGCCCTACTTAAGAGTTGTTGCTCTAATGTTTGACTTTGTTTTGGAAACAATGCAACAATGATGCCTAATTTGGTTCATAGGGAAGGCCTAAGCTTCGTAAAATATGGCCTAAAGCTCTTCGGTTAGGCTATGTCTGGAAATGGATGCTCTTGCTTGTTAAGACTAGGCCTAGGCCTAGTTCCAATCACTGCATGGACATTTGATTAGGTACAGCTATCTTAAAGTTTTTATGGGTGTCCATTTTTTCCTCTAGTAAGATTAGTTACCGTACCTTTAAATTCTACCCTATGGCACGAGTAAGCCTACTGTAGGCTAAGTTTAGCCCTTCCCATACGGCCTATAAGTTACAGACAGCAAAATTATTTTATTTGGATGGAAACTAAAAAAATATCTTAGTTATTTTAAATATCTATAATTTAATTTGGTATTTTCCCTGTTAAGGGGAACATTCATTGTTATCGATGATTTTTTTTCAAACAATAAGTTCCACCGGTACCTATTATAAATAGGGTTATGAAATTTATGATCAATATTATGGGTATTGATATTTTATTTTTTGATCCGATATTTAGGGGGCCTACCGATATTAAAGTATTGAAACATAAGTAGGCCTAGCTGACAACTATGTCACGGTACCTACCTAAATAAATATTGTTCAGAAAAGAAATCACCGATAATTAATGAATGTTCCCTTTAACAGGAAAGTAGGTACCTTAATTCATAGAATGTTGTAAATAGTTGACATACAGTTAGGCCTAAATACTAATACTCATCACAAGTAGTAGGCTACCTAGTAACTTGGGCCAGCTGAAAAGTGGAACCCTTGAAATCCTTGACGGAGCTAAAGCTTGGTTCTCTAATAACAAGCTAAAAATAAACAATGACAAAACCCAGGAACTGATATGCAGTCTAAAGCATCAGAATCCACAACAACAACCTGTGAAACTGCTTGGTTTTTGGCTGGATGGCAAGTTGACATGGGATAAACAATAGGTGAGTTAGATGCCAGACTTTCCAGAACAGTTTTCCTGCTAAGGAATCTAAAAAACTTGGTCACTGATACGGACTTAAAATTAGCCTATTATGGCCTCTTCCATAGCCTAATGAGCTACTGTGTCATTATCTGGGGGCACACTTCGGAGACAAGAACCATTCTGAAAACTCAAAAGGCTGCTATAAGAGCCATAACGTCCAGCGCAAGGCATGAGCATTGCAAACCACTGTTCTGTGACTGGAGTGATGACTGTTTACGGTCAATTTATTTACAACTGTCTGGTGCATGTTAAGGAAAACATAGGCAACCTCAGCTGCAGAAACCAACTTCATAATTACAACATGAGAAGAGGAGAGATTTTAAACATTCCTTTCTGCAGGCTGAGCAAGCAAAAAGACTGCTTTCCTGTCCTTGGCATTAGGCTCTACAACCATCTGGCCAAGAGCATAAAGTCACTCCCTCTCAGGAATTTTAAAAAGAAAGTCGAGGAACTACTAAAGGCACGGCCTCTCTATTCCATTAGTGAATATTTTGTTGAGGAAAGTGATGAATGGATCTCATGACCTACTGCCATGTTAACCAATTCTAAAGTAATAACACTTTAAACTTTTTTTGACGAAATCCATCCAGTCATTACTAGTCAGCGATGGATGTATGGTATAAAGGTATAAAGCATCTATGCACTTTTTTCCAAAATAATTTTGTTAGCCTATAGTTTATTTAGCCTAGGCCTCCTTTTTTTTTCATAATTTTTTTAGCTAATTTCCCATATTGGGAATAAGCTATTACCTTAGGTTTCATGATAAGACCTGGACCCGGGACCGATTTACTTTTTCGTTTTGAGATCCTCGGAGGCCAAAAACACCATTCGTTCAAATTCATATTAGCAGCGAAACCCAGTGTTGCCCAGGTTAAAATGCAATCACAATAATGGCTATAAAACTTATTTTAAATCAACAATTGCATCAAAGTGTCTGGTATCGCTCAGTTCATATTAAATTAATTTGACACACCCTTTCATACAGCACCTACCTGCATTTTAATCTTCAAAATTGTATGCCTTTTGAAATTTACATTCTCTAAGTATTCATTTTCCCGAAATCAATAGCCTACTTAGATGCTCGGTAGTATTTTTATTTGCATAGGCCTAATAACGAAACTCTTGAAGCTCTAACCATTCTTTTGTAAAGCGTTGTTAGCCTACTATGGTCGTTCCTCAGCATATTTTTCTTTATAAATAGGCTACCTCTGGTACTTTTAATTTTTTTCTTCTTATTATTGCATTCTTTTACTTGATACTCGTAAGACGTTGTTGTGTTTCTTCAGTTTTTTCAGCATTTATAACATTGCGAGAACAATAATTTCTTGTTCTTAGGCTTTTTAAATCCCATATGATGCTTTTCGAATATACCTACTCTGAAATATTTTGGAAAAACCAAAATATGAACATCTATCTATACTTATTTAATACGCAAGCAGGTTTTTTGTGACAATTACTCCTCTGAAACTACTGAACCGATTGACATGTTTTTGGTGTTATTGGAAAGAGCGTAACGTGAAGTTGTGCAGGAAACTTTTTTTTTAGGGAAATAATTAGAGAGTGAGGCCCTGGGTTCCTTTAAAGTTTCATATTTCTCCATAAGATTAACATGTAGTGATGTAAAATACCCAGGTATTTAAAACTCGGGGTAAATACCCTGGGTATTTACCCGGGTAAATACCCAAAATCCATAAATACCCGGGTATTTAGGGTATTTATGAAATCGATTGAAATTCATTTATATTTACCCCTAAATATGTTATTGTTATCATTACATGATAAATTAGGATAGTCTATAACACCTTTTACAAACTTAAAGCTTTGCTAGTACCTTTTATTTAATTATTTAGCACTTTTTTAAATAATAAGTTACATAAAGTTTCTAAATAAGCATGGGATTTTGTGTCTTAAATCAAGTTTAAATTACTAAAACATAGTATATTAAAAAGGCTGTGGGTATATTTTTATCATTTTATAAATGTATAACCAATTAAATAACATAAACAAAATTATTAAACAATTTATAAATATCCAGGAATTGTTGGGTATTTAAGATGCAAAAATGTTTATTGTATAAATGGCTTGGGAGGCTAGACATACCTAAGGCCTGATTGACATAGGCAGAATGGCAGAATACTAAAAGTAATTAAACTTTCTGTGTTACCGCTTGGTTGGAAACAATAATATATTTGGATAAACCTACTAAAAACATGTATTTTCTGTTTTTTGTTCTAACTTAATATAATTTTGAAGGATTTATTGTGCTATAGATCCAAATGTTTTGTATCACAAGTTTATGAAATTAGTGTTTTTTTTATTTTGATTCCATTGATACCAACCAAAGATCTCTGAGAACAAAAATATTTTTAAATCCTGCTATTCTCCAGATTGAATTTTAATTATATTCTAAAGTTGTTTACACATAGGCCACTACTAGGTTAAATTTTCCTGTCTTTCTAAATGATAATTTTTACTTAGCAAATTTTTTTTTCACTTTCAATAAAATAAATAAATTCATCTATCTATCATAGACATTAAAAAATCATTAGTAGTCAGGACCAGTGCAACCATGTGATCAGGGTATTTATGCCAATTATGCTTTATGCTCAGACCTGGGTGGGTATTTATGACGATTATACCCAGAAGTAAAATACTAGTATTGACCATATGAAATTTTGTTTAACACATTTTATCATCATTTTACCATCCTTACAGGGTAATAATTGCAAAAAAACATCTCAACCTTATCTAACTTTAATAAAAATTATAATTACCCAGTTTATGGGTATTTACCCGGGCCTGGGGTAAATACCCGGGTAAAAACCCAATTTATATTTACCTACCCACTGGGTATTTACCCGGCCCACATCACTATTAACATAGGAAACAAACATTGTTTTGAAACTCCAGCTGTTGTCAGAAATTAAATATTAATAATTGGTCTCCATGGAAGCATCAGAAAATTCACAATATTTACTGCTTTGACATTTAAATGTAAACAACCAGAACTGTCAAATGCCTATTTCACAATTTCAGACAGCTGATCCAAAAAAATTAAACAAGTATGTGGTAGGTTTACTTTAATCTTATACTTGATGATGGATTATTTATTATAAATCTATTTCAATGATTAGGTATGAAACAGATTTTTCCCGTTGCGAAGCAAAAATTAA